CCCATCCCCGGCCCCTTCGCAAGGCTGAGGTTTAACCTGGAGAGACCCCGCGGGCCGCCCCCACGGGAAATAACCCTGGCGGAACAGCAGGGCAGGAAGCGTGCGGGACCCGCTGGAAAAAGTGCGGATCCTGCACATTTTTTTTTTGCTTTTTCTACAGAATCCGACTTTAGAAGGCTGTGGGCTGTTGGTTTCGGGGTGTGGGGTTGGTTTTTTTTTTTTTGGTTTTTTTTTTCCTTGTGTCGCTGTGGGACCTTTAGGATATTTTTCAGAGAGAGCCTCCAGTCAGACCGGCGAGAGCAAGAGAGTGCGAGCGTACGTGGTGGTCCTTTCATCTGAGAACTTGAGAAAGAAACAACTTTTTTTTTGTTTTTTCTTCCTGTTAGGTATGAGTTAGATTGGCTGCCTCAGTAGTTTAGTGGACTGTTGAAATGTCCCTTTTCCTTGCTGCTACTGCTTTTTTGGTTTTTTTTTTTTTTGCTTGGTTTTGAATCTAGCTTTTCCTCTATACTCTGTTTTTGGGTTTATTTTCCTTCTGATCACAGAAGCTGGAGGTGCCCAGACTGGCTGGGGCCCTTCTGGTGTGTTTCCTCTCTAATGCAGGAGAAGCCAGAGAGCTGTGTTCTCTGCAATTTACCCTGTCTAATCTCAAAAGTCCGCAGCAGAGAGGGCTTCCACTGTGCCACCTGAGGAATGGGGTTTTGAACAGGCCTCTGTTTCGCGTGCTTCCCCTGCTCCGTGGCAGAGAACCTGCCCTCATCTCTGGGATGAATCGGTCTCATTAGGTCACCACCTTCCTCTGATGGATTGAATTCCTTCCTTTGGGTCATTCTCTTGCTCGATCCCTCCCTTTCCTTTGTGTTTGGAGCCTTTGGAGACCTCCTCATCCCATTAGCAATATCACTGTTTAGGTAAGTATCTGTGTTAGCTAATCTTGACCTTTCTAAACCATTTTATTTTTTTCTGTGCAGTTCTGCCTTTCTTCTGATTAACCAAATGTGCCAGCAGAGCAGCCTAACTGCATGGAGCAGGCACCGCACGCTCTGGACACCACGTAGTTTGCACTTGTGCGCTCTCTCGCACCTCAAACTGTAGATACCTGCCCAATCTGGGAGTTCCCGTTGGTCGTGGCTCGCTCAGCCAGGCGTGTCCCTCTGTGTTTGTGCTTTTTATCAAGCAGTCCCAGCATGCTGAATAGCTCAAGATGAGTTATCTTTGCTTGGAGGCACCATCTGTCCTTTTTCCTCTGGCCAAACTGAATTTTATTTTCTTGCCCTTTCCCTAAGGCACCCTTTTATGTTATTTTTCCACGCTCCCAAATGTAGTGGTATCACCAGGATGAGCCTCCTTCCCTAGATCTTCCCAGTGAATGTTCGGTAAAAGCAGGTGAAGTCAATGAGACACAAGTTAGTTTCTGTCCTTTCCTACCTTCTTAGCACTGCTGTGTGACCATCCTTCTGGTGCCTTCACTTGTTCTTGCTCAACAGAGAGGTCAACAGAGTCTATGATCCCTACTGCACGTCCCTCTCCCCGAGTTCTGTAGTCAAAATGCTGTCCAGTTGGCGTGGCGTGGCAGCAAGGATGATCCTGTGCTCTTCATCTTCCAAGGATTCAGAGAGTTTTCCATGGGTGCTGTTCTGTGGTACCTGAGCTGAATCAGCCGCTAGCTGCTGCTGCTTTCCCTCTTTGGAAGATGACTGTGGACAACTCGTGCTCATGGACAGCTTGAGGGGGACAGAAAGGGTGCAATTTGAGTAGAAAAGGTGGTAGCACCACGCTGTTGCCAGGTGGCATAGCCTAGGAGAAAAAGGCCTGTCGGTGGTTGAGCCTCATGGTTTGACTGCCTTTTGCGTTTGGGTGAGGTGAGGGAGAACAAGGCTCTTCTGAGCTGCCCGTGGCTGAGAAGATCAGCCCAGCCTGCGCTCTGTCGTGCCGTACAGGGCTGGAGTCGGACTGAGGGTTTGTGGCCTGGGAGGAATACAGGAGGTAGGGCAAATTCGGGGAGGAAAATACAGAGATTGGGAAAAGGGAAGAACAGAAAGTGAACCTAACCAAAAGATGGCGATAGCTTCTCTGCAGGAGAAGGTAGTGGGGAAGAAGCAGTAGCCAGAAGGAGTGTGCAGAACCAGAAGGAGTGTGCAGGAGGAAGGATCGGTGCTGTGCGTGGAAGAGGATAGCACCGCAGCTCAGCGAAGGCTGGCGACCCAGAGATAACTGGTTAATCCGGAGTGCGGTCTGTGCGTCCTGCTGAGCGGCTGGACATGATAGAAGGCTCCCACGTGGGCAAGGCCTGATCGTGCTCCCGCTGACTTCAAATGGCAAGCGACCACGTGAGGACAGCTCAGTGCCTGAAGCAGGGGTGATGCCCGTGCTCTCGGCAGCGCTAATGATGGCAGTGCCCTGTCCTGCAGGCACTCAAGCCTACGTTTTCCTCTCACAAGATGCCAGCGGCTGCAAAGCCTACTAAATCCCTCAGCCTCTTCCAGTGTCTCTGTCAGTCTTTCACAGTTGAGAAAGTTCTACTGAGCCACTGGGGAATGGTGTCCTGGGTGACTCTTCTGGTTTCCTCTATTACATCTTCACTTGGCAGCCATCAAAACTAAGAAATAGGGCTTCGTCTGGGCTCAGTGGGAATACAGTGTTTTAGACAGCTCTGTCCTTGGGTTTTGGTGGGAAACCAGTAGGTTAAAAATGCATTTTCTCCTCTGAAATAGGGGTGGGGGGGGGAGAGGAAGGCTGGGTTTGCAGTGGAGGGGATTAGGGCCTGTGTATTGCTAGGGAATGAGAGCGCTGTGCTGTCTTTTTCTTGCTACTCCCCTTCAGTTGGGGAAGCAGTGTCTCCAAACTTAGGTTTACCGGAGTCCTGAACAAGCCAGCTGCAGTCTGTTTCTCTGAGAGCAGGCGAGAAGGGGATGCCTGGAGCAGCTGTCTTTAGTTCTCCTGCTTTATCCCAAGTTAGTAGTATCTGGGACATGCTGGTGGAGAAGGCAAAACCAGGAGTTACGAATAGCTTTGCTTTGCCTACTAAGTTTTGTGTGTCCAGAACTAGCTAACTGGGGGAGTACTCACAGTTGAGTAACCGGCCCTTCTTAAAAGGGCATCTCAAACTAGGCTTGGTGTGATTCTTAAAGATCCCAGGGTAGGAATGGTGATTTCCCCTAAAACCTTTATTTTAGACCCTCGTCTCCTCTTCTGTTGCTGACCTGGAAACAATCCATGTCACAGGGGTGAAGCACTTCGACAGGGAGGCAATGCCTGCATGCGGGGTAAAGGAACTGCTGCTGCTGGGCACAAAGCAGGTCCTCTAAGCCAATCCTTCATAGACCATCACCCTCCCAGCCTCCTTCCAGTGTGCCTGTGGGAGGTTGGAGGTGGATGTGTTGTCAGTGTTAAGAGGAAGGCTGTGAATTGCCCCCGTATAAAGTTTCATTGTGCTGGTACCTTACAGCCAGGCCAATTTTGAGGAAGACAGCCAGAAGCAACCAGCTGTGGGACACTGGAAGCCACTAATGCCATCCAAAGGCAGCAAGGAGGAGCCAGAGACTGGATGCCAGGATGCTGGAGGTGTGGATGAGACCCAGTCCACTGAGCAGCTCAACGTGTCACGTCTACGCAGCTCTTCAGTGGAGATCCGTGAAAAGGGGTCTGAATTCCTGAAGGAAGAGCTGCACAAAGCACAAAAGGTAAGGCCCAGAGTCTGTGAGAACACTTGAGGATGGCGGCACAGATTTGAGCAGTGGGCGTTTTCCTAGAGGTGGTGCTGGGGGGAGCAGGGTCTGAATGTGGCTGTGTCGCAGCCTGGAGCAGGCAGAAGAGGGAAGAGATTGAGCTGAGGTGGCCATAAAGCGCTTTGGCACATCAGTTGCTAGGTTGACCCAAAACCTCCATGCCAGTATCCAAATTAGTCCTGCAAACCTGCTGCAGAAAGCAGCTTCAGGCAGGCAGTGCTTACCATGGAGCCTCCCTGCTAATGGCAAGTGAGCGATTTCAGCCTGAAAAGCCTGCTGCAGCCTATGGAGGGATGCCTTTGGTGACAGGGAGCGCGGTACAGAGTTTAGCGATGGGTGTCTTGGGCTGGGGGTCCATGCCATGGTGGGGAGGAAGGGTTGTGATTGACAGGTGGGGGCCAGCAGGCATCAGTACTACTGGGGCCTGCTATGGGCTCACGCGTCCCTCTCCATTCCCCCACAGGAGCTGAAGCTGAAGGACAAAGAATGTGAGCGATTGTCAAAAGTCAGAGAACAACTGGAGCAGGAACTAGAAGAATTAACAGCTAGCCTGTTTGAGGTACCAGCCTCTTCCTTTTCCCATAATTTCTTAAGCAAAGCTTACATTCAACTCCTTTAAGACAGGCTTTCCCTGAACTTCCAGCCATCACCTCCCACAGTTTCCTCCTTTCCCCTGCTGTTCTTTCCCACTTGGAGAAGCAGAGCTGGGCAGGGCTGCAGGCAGAGCCTCAGAGCAGGGGCTTGTACCTGCTCCTGGGGGGGCGTTTGCATGCACTTCCTTCCCCTTCTAGCAGCTGTGGGGTGGCATAAAGAGCGCAGGAGTTGTGGGGATGCCTGTAGCTGGAGCTAAGCACAGCTCCCTGTCCCTCTTCTGTGCCTGCTCTGTAGTCTGGGCAGCAGCTGCTGTGTAATAGAGATGATTCCCTGGCTTGTGTCAGCCCTTGCTTGGGGCGGGAAGAAGCTGGATGTCCTCATATACTCTGTTCCAGGGAGCGCTCACAAGGCCTGTTGGTTGTTTTTTCTGTAATGTGATTCTTGCCAAGCTCTATCCTGGCAAAATCCCATTTACCAGCAGCTTTAATGTCTGGATCTGATTGGGCAGTGAGGAAAGCCAGAGGCCATCTGTACCTCTGAAGCATAGGCTGATGCTGAGTGTGAGGGCCAAGAGAGCATCCCCCTCCTGGAGATTTGGCTGCCTGGGCTCAGGGCAAACTTAGAGGTAATGCAGCTGAGTGCTGTCCCCTTCCTTTGGTGGCTTTGGACAGACTGCTTCCAGACAGTGCTGTGGGGAGGCCCTAGCTGGGACTCATGCTGCTCCTCTCTTTTAAGCTAGCTTAAAAGCCTTTACCATTTGGCCCCCACCTGAGCTACAGCTCCTGCTGTGTTGCAGCCATGCCTAGAGCAGTGAGGGCTGGCCGCTCCGCAAGGGAAGTGGGAGCAAAGTGCAATAAACAAGTCAGGCAAGAGCAGTGATCTCACCAGCGAGGAGCCAAGATGTGGAGCAGCAAGCCTGGATCAGGATCTGTGCCACAGACAGCAGTCGGGGGCAGAAAACAGTCCAGTGATCAACCAGCAAGTCTGCAGTGACAACGTGGGCTTGAGGCCAAGTCAGGAGGCCAAGCTAGAGAGTCTGAGTCAAGGTCAGAGTTGCAGGGGTGTCGGACTGGGTGGGCGCAGGCACAGCTGTGATGTAGCACAGGTGGGTGCTAATGTTAAAGCCTCAGCTTTAAAGCAATTCCCAAGGGCAAGGAGGGGCAAGGCCCGTGCTTCTAGCTTTCGCAGCAGCCCGTATCAGTGAAAGAGATGACCTTGGACTTGGCCAGCTAAACTCTAATTTAACCAACTGCGCTCCTAGAAGGGGGATGCACTCTGGGCTCTGGCAGCAAGAGCCTTCTCTGGGAAATTCTGGGGGAAGGCTCTTCACAGCTGACGGAGTAAAAACCCTTGGATGTGGCAGAGATGTCTGTCCCCCTGCTTGCATGCCCAGAGCACGCAGTACAGCAGACCTTTGGCCTGCCCTGGTGACTTTGTGACTTGGGGCTGCAAGAGGCAGACTAAAATTCTCTCTGGTCCAGGAAGCGCACAAGATGGTGAGAGAAGCAAACACTAAACAGGCGGCGTCAGAGAAACAGCTGAGGGAGGCACGGGGGAAGGTGAGAAATGCACATTCTGTGACTTGATCTTTGTGCTAGGTTGGTGCCATCCCTGCCCTGCCTGGCCATGGTGCTGTTTGCTGGCTGGAGCAGAGCAAATTGCTGGCAGCTTGGTCTCTCTGAGATGCTGCACTGCTCTGTTCCCTCTCCAGCAGACACTCGGTGAAGGGGAAAAGGCATCCTTGCAGTCTGCTGCTGATCCAGCTCCCCTTTGAGAAATGGATGCCAGGGGAACCACAGAGAAGTAATATGCCGTTTAATTGCCACAGCTGTGGGGATGGATAGAGCAGGGAGCTGGGGAGTTGGAATTGCCTGACAAGGCTGCATCACAGGACTGCTCAACTGGTTCCTTCTTGAGGAGAGAGAAGTGTCTTCTGGGTTACTGGGTCTAAAAAGAGCCTGGGGCAAAATGTGCTCAGGCTGAGGAGCAGAGGGATGGGTTCCCGAATTCCCTGCTGTTTAGCCCTGTTTAAAATTCTGGGTGATGGTGGGCATTTGGGAGAGTGGGGAGAAGGCTTCATGATTCAGCTTGTAGCTGCTTCCCTGTGGCTTTAGTGTTTGGTGGGGTGCAGCAAGCTCGAGCTCAGAAGGTGCTGAAGGTGCTGTTGACTCTTGCCTTGTCTCTTCAGATCGACATGCTGCAGGCAGAGGTAACAGCTCTGAAGACACTGGTGATCACATCCACGCCTTCCTCTCCAAATCGGGAGCTGCACCCTCAGCTCCAGAGCCCTTCTAAAGCTGTCTTCAGGAAGGGCCATGGGCGAAACAAAAGCACCAGCAGCGCGATGGTCTCAGCTGCCAGCCAGAACGTGGCTCCAGAGCCAGTCAGTCATGAGTGCAAAGAGGTGGGTGAGGGCTGCTCACTGCGCTCAGGGAGCTGTGCGGCTTCTGGCTTGGGCTTCCTGGAGAGCTCTGTGGTTTCAGTGTTGGGGAGAAGCTGTTTGTGCAGGAACGTGGCTTGTTCCCTAAATTTGTGCTGAGGTAGGCTCTGGAGGGTTTCCATCTGTGGTGATTTCCTCTTCTGGGAAGCGTGGTTGAAGGCTGTGTCAGGACAACTGCTAGAGGAAACCGTTGAGGGGATCCCTGGAGGGCATGGACAGACCCAGGAGTTACCAGTGCTGAGAGTGGATATATTGGGAGCTGCTGAGCAGAAGCCAGTTGTTTGCTGCGTCTTGGCAGCCGAGTCCACTACCTGTTCTGGTGTGATTTGCTCTCTACCTAGTTCGGCTTGGGCACCAGGATGCCTCCATCAACTTGTAGTCTCTGTCACTTGTTCTGTATTCTTGGGCATCATCTATTCTTCCACTTCTTTGCAGAGCATTTATTTAATGAGTTATATTTAATGCCTTCATCACTGGAAGGAACTGGGCAGAGAAGCATACAAAGCATTTGTGAATATCTTTCAAACAAACCCTGTTTAATTCCCTTTGGTGATCCTTTGATGGTTCCCTGCCTGCTGTGACCGTGGGTGTAAGTAATGCTTCTTCCTGCTAGCAGGATCTTTCCAGCTGGGGGCTTTCCACTAGCCAGATGTGTACACAGCTGTCCTGGGGAGGAAAAAGGAGGCAGCCTATGGCACTTGGTCAGGAAGAATGAAAATGAGTGAGAATGTGGTGGGGGAATATGTCTCCCTAGTGATTTCTTGGGAGCTGCGGCCTCTGTCGTGAAGAATTGTTGAGGGACCTGGTCACTTGGCTTATGTGAGAATGTATGCAGAAGGGCCACTTGTGAAATTAATACCCTCATCGAACAGGACTGTGCTGGCAACGCTGGTAACGCCTGCTTTTGGCAGTGGATTCAATGAATGTGCCTTGTCAGCTTCTGCGCAGTGCTCTTGTTGCTAGAGTTCAGATGAAATGCTTCAGGCGACATTGGCTGTAGCCATTGTCCTGAGACAGCAACAGCCACGAGGCTATGAGGATCTTTACTGCTGTTCACAGGCAGGGAGGAGCAAAGGCTATGTCAGAAAGAAAGCCAAAGGAAAAAATCAGTTCAGTAACTGTGAAGGCCTGATGCACTGGTTCCTCTTGGTCAAGCAGGGAACAGTTTAGATACGCTGCAAGTTGGAGTCCAATGCAGTCAGCTAGAAGCTGCTTCGAGGGCCAGGAAGAAAAAGGTTTTAATTTTTTGAAGGTCCTGTGACCTCTCCCAATGCTAACCATTCCTCCAGTCGGAACAGAGGAGCTCCAAATGGAGAGCCCAGCTCAGTGAACCACTGATGACCCTGTAGAAGTTGCCCTCTGCCTACAGTAAGCAGAGATATTTTGCTTACTGGGTAGCTCATTTTGCTGTTCTTGGCTCAGTCTCCGCAAAGCTCGTGTTGACGATCTTTAGAGAAAAGCTAGCTCTTGGAAGTGACTTGCTTGTTAAAGATTTGGACCTGTGACTTCCTTATGTGGGCAACTTCCACATGGTGCAGGTATCCTGGGGCTTAAAATCCCAGGGCTACTGCTTCCAAAGTGACTGATAATTTTATATATCATGGGTGGGGTAGTTTTTTGTTAATTTGATGATTTCTGTCTCTCAGATTCCTTGGTGGCCTATGCAAGAGGTGGTAAAAGGGAACCTGGCATTCAGGGAGTTGGTGCTTGGTGCTCTATGGAAAAAACATGCCCGGAAGGGAGGACTCGAGCCTTTCTTTGTATCTTCTGTTTTGTCTCATGTTTCCTTTCTTGCTTGTCTCTCTAAACCTTTTTCTTCACTCTCTGTCTTTTCCTCTGCCCTCAAAGTCTGGGTTACCCGCTCTCCTCTCTCTGCTCCTTTGTATCATCCCTGGGAAGGCTATCCACATCACCTATGAACCAGGCTGGCAGGCTTTGGGGGCAGATGCTTCCTCATCCTTGCGGCAGGTAACCTTTCTGGACAGCGTTGGGGAGGGCTGGGACCCATCTGCCTCACGTTTCCAGCCTTCCAGTTCCCGCTTCCTTTTATGCTAACCTCCTTTATTTTTTTTTTTTTTTTTTGCCTTGTTTTCCTGTTTTTTTTCTCAATTTGTTTTTCCATCTTGTGGCTCTGAAGCTGTCTCCTGGTACCAGGTGAACAGTCTCTCTAGCACAGAGCGAGTGTGCTAGAACCCAGACCCTTTCCAGCTTTGTTCACTCATGTTCTTTGTGTTGCTCAGCAGGGTTTCTTTAGTTTTTGGTTTGTTTTTTTTTTCCTGTCAGCAGCTTTAACAGGATTTGCTGGCCTTTTAAGGAGATGCCCTGACAGTCAGGTTGGTGGTTCTGCTAATGATCCATCTGGGGTTTAAGTGTCAGGTCCCAGAGCGTCTTCAGGACTGAAGTTTTTTCAGCCAGACAGAGATGGAGGGAGCAACCTTCCTGCTGCCTCAGGGGGTGGGAGCAAGCTCTGTCCTGGGTCCCTTTCTGCTGAGCAGTGATAATGGTTGTGGGCCACCTGTAAAAGGCAGTGAGCAGACATTAGAATGGGGAAAGCTGCTCCTCCTCTTTGAGCTCCCTTTGAGAGACCTTTCCTACAGCCAGCTTGCCTCTGCAAGCCCGTGTGGCTGCCCAGCGTTCCTATCACTTCTGTGACTCCCCAGACAGCAGAGTTCTGGGCTTGGAGTGGCCTTTAAAGGGCTGGCATACCCTGTGAGCTCGTAATTGGGCTCGCTGAATGTAGTCCTGCTGGTGGCTGTTTATTAGTAAGCTTTTCCCAATTCATCCTTTTCTGTAGCAATCCTTTCCTTGCGGAAGGGTTCTGCCTCCTGTGTCCTGGGTGCCATTGCCACCGTGCTTTGCCATTCAGCTGCTCTCATCATTCCTGCCATGGGCTGAGTGGGCACTTGGTCTGTTCGGTGGTTGTGTCATGGCTTTCCTGCAGCAGAGGTGCTGCCCTGTCCTGGAGGAAGATGGGATAGAGGTGCCTGCATGTTTCTGGTAGAATAAGCCCAGTATGGCTGCGTCATTCTGGCATAGAACTGCTAATGGGTGGGAGGGGAAAGATCCTTGGAGCGAGCCAGCTTCCCTCAGTCACTTCTGTGCTGTCTGAACCTTTCTAGATGCCAAAGCAGATGTTCGTAATTAGGTTACCTGCATAGGAACAGATACCTTCTGATATGGTTTCTCTCCCTCTGCTCACCTTCTGTCTTCCCACTGCTCTTGGGCACTTGCTGCAGGTCGACTCCATTTTATTTGCTGAGTTCCAGGCCTGGAAGGAATCTCCAACTTTGGATAAATCCTGCTCCTTCCTGGACAGAATTTATCGAGAAGATGTAGGACCTTGTCTGGACTTCACTAAGCAGGAGGTGAGTGCTGGAAAAGGAGGACAAAACCTGCGCAGTCTGGCAGCACGAAAGTTGCACCTTTATGGAGGTGACCTTTGCACGTTCATATCTGAACTAATTCCTCTTTGCTGCAGCTGTCGGAGCTGGTGCGAGTGGCTGTGGAGCAGAATACGCTCACCATTGAGCCGGTCGCTTCCCAGACACTGCCTGTGATGAAGGTGTCGGCAGAAGAGTGCAGTGGGCCAAAGTAAGGAACTGTGCTTGTGCTCGCTTGTCCTCTCTTTGCTACTGGTCTTTTGGTACCATCTAGTGGAGTTTGGCCGAGCCTTCCTCAGTCAGTTGGGTTGAACAGTTCAAAGGGCTCAGCTGAACGTTCTCCTAGCCTGTGAACAGTGGTAGTTCAGCTCAACTCTTTCCGTGAGAGGGGGAATTAGCTCAGCTAAGCTGATGTACTGTAGTTGACTGATTTGGGGGCTGACCTAGTGATGTGTCCTTGGCTCAGGAGAGGTTTTGTTTTGTGGTTTTTTTTTTTTTCCTCCTTAAGGTAGCAACTTGTTTAATGTTCTCTGAAGGTGTGTTTGTGCATAGCCTAGGGTGAAAGGATTAAGTCAGAGCTGCGTTATCTCACGTTCTTGCATCTTGTGGGGGTTGAGCTCACCTTGCACTCCTGACCTTGCTGGTGCACCAGGTGGGTTTGAGTCTAGGTCAGAAGAGATCTCCTCTTGCTGCATATCATCTTCCCTGCCTGATACTGTCATCTTACCATCAGAATTGGGGCTATGGCTGCTCCAGAGCTTGCATGACCATATCTGATGTGACAGACAACTGGAGATTGCCTCGAAGAAGAGGAGCACTGGCAGGAGTGACATGATATTCCAGATGAAGATAGGGGATTTTATTTTGCTATTGAAGTTCAGTCAGGGCTCTCTTTGTTTTTCCCTCCCTTACCCTCAAGCAGAGCATTTTCTAAGCAAAGGTGTTCCTGTAACAGCAAATGCTGCTCGCGTGCAGGTTTCCTACCACTCTCTTCTGTGTTTTCTGCCGCTTCTAGGCAAGTTGTTCCATGAGTATGTGTCAGGTCTCTTCCAAGAACAACCCATCCTGTGTTTATCCTTATTGGTTTCCTTTTGAATTTTTTTTTTTTTTTTTTTTTGTGTCTTCACAGTGGGTTCCGGTCACAAATTGTAACGTAAGTCAAGTGTTTATTTTTTAGTCAGCGATCAAAGATCTCTAATCCATTAACAAGGTACTAACTTAGTGCAATTTAACAGCTTTGAGGCTAGAGCTGAACTAAGCTAATATTCTAACTCTGTTTAATTCCCACCCAGGCAGGGTGGTAAAGAATCTTGCTGCTGGCAATAAAGGACCCAAAAGGAATTTGTTCCCCTTTGTTTCCCAGATGCAAAACACTGATTTTTATGGCAACTTTGAACATGCTGTGGACCAGAAAGCCCAAGCTGGGACCTACCAGACCTACTTGTCTATACCCTACCGTACAGACCTCAGGGCAACAGTTAGAGGAATCCGGACAGGCGAGGACTGAGTTGGCCACTATGTGACGTTGTCTGTAAGCGTCAGAGCAACATGCTGGCCAGGAAGTGCTGAGCACAAGTGGCTTTCATGATGGCATGTCCAGCAAAGCACCCTGGGTGTGTAGAGTGCTGAAGGGCAGGTTGTCCAAATGCTGTGGTTTAGATTACTTCTAGATACAGTTGTGATAGCTGGGGTTATGCCATGCCAAGTGGTATCAACCAAGCCATGAGTGACCAGCAGGAGATTCTGGTTTTTTTTTTTTTTTCCAGTGCACTGGAGTGCTCTAATTTAGGACCTCTTAAAGGTATCTCTTTTACAAAGGTATCGGGCATCCTGCACCTTCTGAGGATTTGATCCCTGTAAGTTGTGTTAATATTTGGGCAACGATTACTTCTCATTGTATCTGAACGCTTACAGCCCACGCTTCTACTCTTAGCTAATATTTGCCTTGATAGTAGTGGAAAGCAAGCAGAGAGACGTGCTCAGAAGCTCTCTGAAACCTCTGCTTCCATGTGTTGTCATCTTCCATGGCCCACAGCGCAATTTTTTGCAGCTTGGGAGTGACATCCCTCTTCCCACCATGCAGGCACTGAGTCTCCAGGGAATGTGGTGGTGACTGTGCAGCAGAAAATTCTGCTTTGCCGCTTTAAGTGGTGGTGATGGAAGGGCAACTGGCTGGTGCTGGGAACCATTTGTCTTGCAAATAATGGAAGGAAATGGCAAGAAAACAGAGGTGTGCTGCACCCTTGATGATTACGTCTTTTGGTGGTATCCCTGTGAGCTGAGCTGTCTTGAAAAGACCATTTTCTTCACTCTGTCTGAAATCTCCCTGCAATTGTGAAGCCAAGCGTCTTCCCTGTCTGCACAAGAAGGGCTTGGCTTGTTCTTAGGAAGTGCAAGCCTTATCCAAAGCTGCCTGAAGTCAGTACAAAGTCACTCCATGTGGCATCAAGTTCAGTAGCTTCGAATCAGTCACAGATTAATTAATAGGAGCCTAGCATAAAGGCTGCGGTGTGACTTGTTTTGAGTTCTCAGCATGAGTAAATTCTGCTCAAATGCTGGATTTACCTGTTTTGAGACCAGGTTTGGTCCCCAGCCAGCATGTTTGCATTCCTTCAGGAAAGCTGATACACCTGAGTAGAGCTCCTTCAGCAAAAAGCTTGCCTGGAACATGGGGGAGACACGCGGAGACCAGATGACATTTGTTATGTTCTGCTCCAGCCTCACCTCTTTAATATTTTTCTGTGGTTTTGTCTTGGGCTGTCTGCCAGGGAAAGGGCACAGCCTTGGTTTGCTTGGGCATGGCTCCAGATATTTAGCCTAAGGTCTCCTAAACTTGCCATTTATGGAATCTTTCAAGGAGAAAAAGGCTCGTATCAGCCAAGTTTTTTGCTTCTTCGTGCTGAACTGACAGAGCATCTGGCTTCTGAGCTCCCACTTCCATCTCTTGGGGATAGTCCTGAGGTTGTGGAGTTGCCGTGCTCTGCTGTGCCACCAGATTGCTGAAGGCTGAACTATTTTTTTTCTTTGTCTGCAGGAAATGTGCTCTGAGTGGCCTCCCCAGGACCTGCAAGCACCGCATCATGCTGGGGGATTCTGGAAATTACTTCTACATTTCACCATCCTGCAGGGCCAGGGTAAGTCTTCCACCAATTGTTCCAAGCTCCGAGATGGAGGAGCTCTTGGATCAGCCCTCAAACTGAGAGAGACCTGCGGGGCTTGAGTTTGTTCCTGAAGACGAGGTGGCTCTTGGTTGATGACTAAGGTGGAGGTCTCTAGCCCTGCCTCATGCTCCGGTGCTCTGCCTTATGTTCCTTCAGGCAACCTGTCTTCAATGTGTTTGCTTTCCCTGGTTTGATTCAGTACAGGGCTTTGATTGTTTTGCTTTATTATTATTTATTAATTCTCCTTTGTAAAACACAGTAATTTTCTGCTCTTTAAATGCTGGCTCTTGTACTGTTCCAGTACAGATCAGTGACTCAAATGGTCATGAGAACAAGCTGTCCTTTCTTTGAAGGGGAGAAGGTGAATGATTTATTAATGTTCCTGTTGGGGCTGTGATTCAGTGGAGCATTTTAGAAGTTTATTCTTTCCTGAGTTGCGTATCAGAAGAGCTGGTCCTGCAACATGTGACTATTTCTGAGACAAAAAGTTGGTTTTGTGCATGGACTTGACTAATTTTTGTCACTTGCACCGAAGTACCCTAATGTGCCATGAACACCCTTACCTCCCTGCACACATGCTTTCTGCACAAACCTCTAACTCCAAAGATTTTCATTCAGTCAGAGAACAGTGCTCTTTGAGGGCAGATCATGGGCTTCGCCACCGCATTAAGTAGTGATTATTTGTGTCTCAAATCTACAGTTGATTGGACTTCTTCCACGGTGTGTCTCATGGGTGGTGTAATATCTTGGGATGGGATTACAGATGCCCAGAATTTTATTTTATTTTTTTCTCAACCAGCTTTCTTCCTATCTCTTTCCATCTGGTTGTATGTGGTACTACTTAGTAGCTCATTTTTATTTTTTTTTTCGGTTTTCTTCTCTCTCCCTCAGATCACAGCGGTGTGCAACTTTTTCACATACATTCGCTATATCCAGCAGGGCTTGGTGAGGCAGGATGGTAAGAGGGGGTAGAAGCTGCCTGCGGTGGGGGTGGCTTCTGTGGGCCATTGGGAGGAATTAAGAGGTCCTATTCAGTGTGACAGGGGTGGGGCCAGCTTGGGGTATCCTGAACTCCCCGTGTCTTTGAGAAACAGTTAAATGGCAAAAGAAAGGCATGAGCGGGAGGCATAGATGTGCCTGTTCCTTGCTCATCAGCTTGTTGGGAGCTTTGCCGTAGGGTGGAGCTGGTAGGGGGTGACCTGAGGGGCCTGTCCTGCTGGACTGTCTGGCACATCTGCTTCCCTCCCTTTGGGGGTGAGCCTGGCTGGGCTGCACCGAGAGCACGGCATAACATGAGGTGGTGTCCAACTGTGCCTTGTTTACTGATTTATTTATATTTTTTTTTTATGTTTTTCTCCCTTCTCTTCCCCACACCCATTTTGTTTTGCAGTGGAGCTGATGTACTGGGAGGTCATGCGGCTCCGGAGGGAGATGTCTCTGGCCAAACTTGGGTTTTATCCCAGTGAGATTTAAGCAGAGCATGGAAGGAAACTGCTGCTGTATGAACGGTTTGTCAAACACAGTCTGCCAAACAGATGAAAGCAGTGCCTCTCCTGCAGCGAGCCTTACGCCCTCCCCACCGTCCCTCTGCCTGAAGCTGATCAAGGAGCAAGAAGCACAAGTTCCACCTTCAGCTGTCCCACTTCTCCAACTGTGACTGGAACGCAGCTGCCAAGCTACTGCCTCAGAGCTGGGCTGGCCCTGGCTGCTCTGGGGTGGCCGTCTACAGACTGTCCTCTTTGGAGTCTCCTATATGCAGTGTATATCCATGTTTGGTTTTTTTTTTTTTTTTTTTTAAACTTTTGTTTTTATATGCAGTCTGCTTTGGCATATTCTGAGGCCAGCCCTGTGCAAGGCAGGAGACCTGGACCTTCTTTGTAAGCAAGCCTTTCAGGACAGATGCTGGCTGTCTGTCCATCTGTTCCACTCATTCTTTGGGGTGGAGGGTGCCATACACCTAGGTCCTGCTGACCGCTTACTTCCCTAACGGCCCTGTAAATGCCAGCAGCACGTAATAATCGTCTGGAGAGCCATGAACAGCCTGTTTCCAAGTCCTTCCTTGCTCCTTTTAAAGGAGCCTGCAAGAGAAGCCTTCTGCCAGCTGCATCACAAAGAGGGATTTGTGCTTGCGATTTGGCACTGGGAAATCCAGGCCGGGGGAACAGCCGGAGCGGAGGCCAGAGCTGTGCACCTGGGGCCTTCGGCAGAAGAAAGCGAGCAGGGAAACTGCATAACTCACAGCTGGCTGCAGCTTGGCTGCAGTCTGCAGGATGTTTTCTCCTGGTCTAGAGAATCTGCTGCACTTGTCACAGGCAGATGCAGAGCTTGACAAGCGGTGCCCTGTGACAGTCCTTGGTGCAAAAGTCCCCCACGGTGCTCTTAGGTACAAACCTCAGCCCTGGACAGATGCCTTTGAGCTGTTCCTGCTCTCAGGGTAGCTTTGGGCAGTACTGGCCCTACTGTTTAGGTAGAAACCATGGTCCCAGGCTGGGTTTTTATGTCTCCAGAAGGAGCACGCCCAGGCTGAGTACAGTCTTGAGGCCCCAAGATTTCCTCCCCAGTATTGCATCACACCTAGAGATGCACGTCCACTGGGAAACCTGGCTGCTTCTGGGCTGCCATCCCCGGTGAGGAGATCTGAGACATCTTTGTGTGCATGAGGGATGTGGCCGCAGTTCCTGTATGCCTTTGAATGTGCTGGGAAGGATGTCACTAAAGCTCTTGTGGCGCAGAGGCACTCTATAGCTTGAGCTCAGGCCCGGGTTTGTCTGCACAGAACTGTGTTAAAGCCATGACAGTGTTTTGTAGCCAATTTAGCCTTCTTTTTCAGTGACTCTGGAATTGGCTCAGCCACCACCCACCCTGGGGGTTTCATCTCACGTGGCATTTCTGCACTCTTGACTGGCATGTCACCCTGTCCCTCTGCCATCATCGTAACTCCTATTTTAGCAGGTTGGTGCCCAGAACTGGATCACCATCCTCAGCTCTGTTAAGTTTCATCCTCTCCTGAGAGATGCTACAGGAGGAACTCTCTATCTTCAGTGGAAGAAAACTAACTGAGCTGCTATGTTTTTGTCCAGGGGAGGGAGGAACAGACGGGTTTGGTTCGGAACCTAATCCAAGGACAGCTTCACAGCAGGTCTGAGAAAACCTTCCTGTAGAAGACCCCCATGGGCAGAAGCTTTCCTGTCACCGAGCATGCTCGCACTATGCTGCCGACTTGCTCCTCAGGTGACTCCTTTCCTTATAGCTATACTGGCATCTGGTATTGTTTGCTAAGGCTTAGTAGCCCTGTGAAACTTGGGTTGTCATCCCCAGAGCTGGGAGAACACATTCTTGACAATACATCCTTGCTTTGAATCCCCCTCCTTCAGCTCAGGACGGGCTGACCTCCAAGTCCAAGTTGTAACACCCCAGTTCTTGCTTTTGCTTCCCACAGCTGAGTGCCCCAGCTCATGCTGCTCACCCTAGCTAGAGGAGTGCGGACATCTGCTGCTCGTCACCAAAGGAATATGTTTCAAATGTGGAGTAAAAGCCTGGAAAATAAATCTCTGGGCAAGAGTCTGGCTGGGTCTTGAGCTAATGCTAAACCTGCATCTCTTTAGGTGGTGTCAGCAGACTTGTGGCAATTTGACGTCAGCTTTTCTAGAGGACGATGTAGAAATGTCTTTTCCCAGATGCAGATTTCAGCTCAGATAAATTCTATCCCTGGCAGTTTCTCCTGTCTGTTCCCCCTGACCTTTTGATCTCTACATGTCATCCTGTGCCATGAGCTGCTAGGTTGCACACCAGTTGTGGCTGCACTGCAGCACTGGGGATGAGATGATCTCTCTATGTAGGAGATGTTTTGATTTGTGGGATTTTTTTATTTTTTTTTCCCCCAGTGTCACTTTGTAAAGCACTTTGAGATGAAAGGAATTGGAGAAATGCATTGTATAAGGTTGTCTTGCATTTAAAACAAAGCAGAGAGAACAATTTGTAAGTTAATATGAAGTTACTCCGTTAACAGCGGGATGGTTGCACCCTGCTCTTTAACAAAGGAAAATAAACATTTGTTATTAACCTCTTGAAAGGTCTGGTTGCAGTTCTAGGGCTGGGTTGGTTGGGGCACGTGTGCAAAGTGAAAACCCAAGTTTGGCTGGCATTGCTTCTTCCTGAGGGACTGGGGTTTTAATGCTTTTCTTCACCAGTCTGCCCCTCCTGTAGCTGGCCGCTCCCTGACTTCACCGGGGGACTAAGTGACAGTGTTTTGGTAGCAAACAGCATCTTTAGCACAGGAATTTCTTGTGACAGGGCAGGCCTGTGTGGTTCTTGCTGAGCAAGGCTGAGGTCTCTTCCAGCTCAGCTGTGGTCTGGCTGAGTTTGCTGGCTTGAAGCGTTGCAGGGGATATGCTGGCCGTCCCAAAGGCTGCTTAATGGAAGGATCTTAGAATCATAGAATCGCTTTGGTTGGAAAAGCCCTTTAAGATCATTGAGTCCAACCTTTAACCTCACCCTGCCATCCCACCACCAAACCCTGGCCCTAAGCACCTCATCTGCCCTTCTTTTAAATACCTCCAGGGATGGGGACTCCACCACCTCCCTGGGTAGCCCATTCCAGAGCCTGCCCTGGCGCAGCTTCAGACCGTTCCCCCTCGTCCCATCGCTCGTTATCAGGGAGAAGAGGCCGACCCCCACCTCACTACAGCCTCCTCTCAGTCAGTTGTAGAGGGCAATGAGGGCTCCTGGGGCAGGGTTATGGCCACACCGGGCAGGGTATGACCACCCGGGGCAGGGGTACGGCCACCTGAGCAGGTTTAAGTCCACCTGGGGTGAGGTTAAAGCCACCTGGGGCAAGGGGACGGCCACCCGGTGCAGGGTTAAAGTCACCCGGGGAAGGGGTATGGCCACCTGGGATGGGGTTAAAGCCACTTGGGTCAGGGTACGGCCAGCGGAGGTGGGGTTAAGTGTACCTGGGTTAAGGTTAAAGCCCAGGGGTACGGCCACCTGAGCAGGTTTAAGTCCACCTGGGGTGAGGTTAAAGCCACCTGGGGCAAGGGGACGGCCACCCGGTGCAGGGTTAAAGTCACCCGGGGAAGGGGTATGGCCACCTGGGATGGGGTTAAAGCCACTTGGGTCAGGGTACGGCCAGCGGAGGTGGGGTTAAGTGTACCTGGGTTAAGGTTAAAGCCACCTGGGGCAGGGCTACAGCCACCTGGGGCAGGAGTGCAGCCACCCCGGGCAGGGTTAGAACCACCCAGGGCAGAGGGTTAAAGCCACCCGGGCACTATTGAAGCCACCCGGGGCAGGGCTAAAGCCACGCGGGGCAGGGGTACAGCCAGCCGGGGCAGGGTTAAGTCCACCCGGTGGCCGGACCTTAGCCCCGGGTGGCTTTATCCGCGCCCCTGGTTGCCTTATCCCCGTCCCGGGTGGCCGTACCCCCAACCTGGGTGGCCGACGCTTGCCCCAGGTGGCTTTCACCCCACTCCGGTGGCCGTACCCCTGCCCTGGGTGGCTTTAACAGTGCCCCAGGTGGCTTTAATCCTGCCCTAAGTGGCTTAAACTCCTGCCCTGGGTGGTTCTAACCCTACCCTGGGTAGCCGTAACCCCCCCCCCAGTGGCCGTCCCCTTGTCCCAGGTGGCTTTAACCCTGCCCCGGGGGGCCATATCCCG